GGGGGGGATACTGAATAAAAAAAAGAAATGAAAACCGGCCTTACGTTTTACTTACAAAAATAAAGCCGACATTATATTTAAAAATTGTTAAAAATTATGAAAACAAATATTATACCGGTGCTATAAATCGCTAATATATAAATTTAGGCACTGCCTAAAAGCAGGGGCCCAATTTAGCTAAAACTGAAAGATTGAAATAAAATCGGGCAAAAAAATCCACAATGTTCTCTCTATGGAGATGAAGATAATGTCCCCCATAACGAAAACCATGAAGCGAAAAAATGAAATGGAAATGCATTACATCGTTTTCTGCGCACGAGTCTTTGTTATCGACCTTAGCACTCTCCCACTTAGGAATTTTGTCACATGTACACAACCCACCAGCGTCCACACCAGGGACTAGTTTTGTTCTTGAAAAATTCTTCGACAAAGTGTTGCATGGCCGACATTTTTACGCTTTGAATTCCTGGTTAATTTTACTTGAAAAACAAAAGATAACTACAGATAATCTAATAAAATGTCAAGTTTAGTGAAATTTACCTTGGATGTCTTTCATTAAAACCCAAATTTCGGAGAAATTCCTAACTTTTTATGGACATATGAACACGGCATATAAAGACAGACTACGCTTACTTTTACTTCTTTTACATGTATGAAGAGTTTATGTTTTTATAAGAACCGTATATTTACCGCAATGAAATTCAGAAAACAAATGCTTTGGTAGCATCAGAGAGAAAATTGGCTGGAGATCATCAACTAACTAAACTTGAGAAATGAAGGTGCTGAATGTTCGAAACCAAATGTGTCATCAGTTAAAAAATAGTTTTCTGATCCTAATTCTTCATTCAAATATTTTTATTCCTTAACTACTTTTCGATAAGCTTGAAAACTTAAGCTGTAAGATTTTAAGATTCGATTTTAATTCGTATTTTTTCCCAATCTGTTTTCATGCGCGAGAAAGATACGGAAATCACGAACGATCGAAAAGTTTTCGAAAAACAAAGTTTACATTCAGTTTTATATTTCTTTCAATATTCAAATAAATTATCTGTAGAAAGG